CATCTCAAATTTCCCAGAACCCCTTAGCATTTCTAGAGGCATCCTGGGACATTGGCAAACCATAAATGTCAAGATCTTACCCCAGCAGATCCCTGTCTGCTGCCTCCAGTCTCCCAATCTGGAGCTGATCCAGATATCCTGCTCTTCCACCCAGCCTCTTCACCAACTCTGTTTCTGCCGCAGAACACTGTGGACAAACTCATCAAGAAAACCAATCTGGCCCTGGTGATTGGCACGCACTCCTGGCGGGAGCAGTTCCTGGAGGCAATCACTGTCAGCCCAGGTAAGTGACACTCCCCTGCCCCCCCCACGCCCCCCCCTACCACCCCTGAAGCCAGCTTGGAGGGATCGAGAAACGACACCTTAGGGAAATCTGCTCCACGAAATGAAAATGCCAGGATGCTAGTAGACAAAATGCTGGGGTGCAAAAACCTGCACATTGTGTATTGCAGAGTTTCTCCCCTTGGCAGGTTGAAGATGGGTGGACCTCAAGGCCCAGAATTCCCCAGCCAGCATGCTTTAAGGTGGGCAGACTTCAACCCCCACCCAGCTGGAGAATTCTGGAAATTGTTTACCTAGTTATCATCCCTCTCTCTCTCTCTCTCTCTCTCTCTCTCTCTCTCTCTCTCTCTCTCTCTCATCTATCAGCTATCTATCATCTATCTATCATCTACTTATCTTCTATCATCTATTATCTATCTATCTTATCTGTCCTATCTATCTATCATCTATCTATCTTCTATATCTATTATCTCTCTATTATCTCTATCTTCTATCATCTATTATCTCTATCTTATCTCTCATCTCTCATCTACCTATCTTCTAACATCTATTATCTATCTATCTTATCTGTCATCTATCTATCTATCCTATCATCTATCTATCATCTACCTATCTTCTATCATCTATTATCTTATCTGTTCTATCTTATCTGTCCTATCTATCATCTATCTATCTTCTATATCTATTTATCTATTATCTCTATCTTCTATCATCTATCTATTATCTCTATCTTATCTCTCATCTCTCATCTATCTTCTATCATCTATCTTTCTTATCTGTCATCTATCTCTCATCTATCTATCTTCTATATCTATTTATCTATTATCTCTCTTCTATCATCTATCTATTATCTCTATCTTATCTCTCATCTCTCATCTATCTTCTATAATCTATTATCTATCTTTCTTATCTGTCATCTATCTCTCATCTATCTTCTATATCTATTATCTATCTATTATCTCTATCTTATCTCTCATCTCTCTATCTTCTATCATCTTATCTATTATCTCTACCTTATCTACCTGCGCATTTCCCTGGCCCAGTCCATGTAGTTGAGGTGTTACATTCATTGTCCTTGGGGTACCCAAGCTGGCTCCTTGCGGCTACATTCTGTACCCGCTTCTGGATACTCTTCAAGGGCAGCTCCATGTAGTCCATACAGGAGATGACTGGGGCACGAGTGACTAAAAGGAGGGCTTCAGTTGGAATCAAAATCCACACATCTTAAAAGCTGACCAGGTTGAGAATCAGGGCTGTTCGTCCGTTATTGTTCAGGAGAGAAAACTGCAGTGCGGGAAAAACAGACCGGGATTAGATTGGAGAATTTAGCTAGCTTAGCAAATGCTGGTGACCCACAAAGGAGCAAGCAAACCAGAATGGCTGATGGCCATATGTCAACCCTTTACTCCCTGCTAAGAAAACGCTGGCTCCTCTGCTCTGCCTGGCACACACACACACACACACACACACATACACACACACACTCACACTCACAGACCGATATACCAAAACTGTCCTACGCTGGACCCGTCTTCCTCTGAACGCAGAATTCATGTGAAAAGACCATTTGTGCGGCGGTTCTCGTCTCTCCCGCTTGGAATTAATAAGCATTGGAGATAAAGAGACATTGCGAGTTGTGTTATTAAGTCAGGCTGCCTCCGTCTGTGAATTTTCCTCCCCACAACCAGGGAGGGGGAAGGAGGCAAAAAAGTCAAAGTGGGCAGGGCTGGCCATCCTCTGGCCATTTGGCTCTCCTTTCGGAAGTCAATCCCGGCCAGACTTCAATGCGCTGTTATCGATTCTGAGCTGATGCTGGCCTACATTTCTGCAGAATTTTGATATTTCCTAGACTAGTCGAAGGGATATAATAGGGGCTGGAGTTGAATCCCTTTGTGGGGTTCCTCCCCCCGCCCCCCATGAATCGTGATAGGAAAGAGTCTGCCGTTGGGTCTGGCGTTGATGTTCTTGCAAGGCCAAGGGCGCCCTCTATTGGTCTGCATCCTACCTAACAGATAATTTAGAACTTTTTTTGTGGCGGTTTTTGTTTTTGGCACTCTTTTAGCTCATTGTCAAAAAGCCTTGCCTGTATTCTCTGTTCATTTGCCTGGAATTCAGCTCTTGTCACCCGTCACTTGGCCTGATTTTTAATTTCTCCAGTTGTGGTTCACCAAAAAAGCCCCTGGGAGCAGCAGCAATTTCGTTGCAACTTACAGCAAAGAAAAACACGATCTTGGCGCACGCCTGTCTTTCTGATTTCTTTTTCTGAATGTTCTTTCTACCAATGGTGGAGGAGGAGGAGGAGGAGGAGGAGGAGGAGGAGGAGGACTGCAGGGTCCTGGGTGCTCTCTGAGCTTGGTTGTTTTCTTGCAGATGTTTCATGACCCAACTAAGTAACATCATCAGTGCTAGAAGGGAGGAGGAGGAGGAGGACGAGGAAATCTAAAATGGTTATGAAATAAAGCTCCAAACCCTGACCCAACTGATTGCAATGGGAGCCCATCAGTGTCAAGTGGCAGATGGTTCCCTCCCGTACTGGAGGTGGAACCACCATGAAGGTCCCATAGAAGAGAATATTTATAGCTCAGA